GAGACAAAAAGAATGGGAAGAGATGTAACGCTTACGAACGAAAGGATTGCTCGAGTCCTGCTGCTAGTATATATATATATATATATATAGTTGAGCTGCTTTAGTGGATTCCTAAGAAACAAACATAGGAAGAGTAGTCCGATGCGTGTGCGCATTACGAGGACAGCAGAGATGCGTGGGTGAAGAAGCAATGAGAAGTTATCAAAATTGTTGTTCGGCAAATTGAACTGAAATAACCGATATCGTGGCTTGATTATTGGTCTCCTTGTCTTCGGCCGCCTTATAGGGGGAGGAAAATATACGAAATCCCATATGGGCGTTATGGTTTTAGGACTAGTAGGTCATTTGACGTTGAAACTGATATGAATAAAAGATAGAATGAGAATATAAATACAGATACTGATATCGATAGCTACGGCTATGGCCAACATCACTGCGTAATGAATTGCGAGCAAATAAAATATTGACAATTTCAAGGTTGATGAAAGTTGAACCGGTTTGATGAACACAAACGATGTGACGACGACGACGACGACGGCGACGGCGACGGCGGCAACACTGAAGTGAGGCAAAACTAGGGAGCAGTGAATGACAGTGGGTTGATAAAAGACATGAAAAAGATCGTAACCGAAAAGGATTCGAATTATCAATGACCGACGCGATAACTATTATAACTGCTGTTTGTGTAAAGATGATGAAAATCGATAATGCTGATACTGCAGGTAACAATGAAGAAGAAACAGATGGTGATTATGTTGATGATGACACAGATATAATAATAATAACAAAAGAATGACGATGATAATAGGGAATAATCACAGCAACAAACGACGCCAAACTCTTGAAGGAAAGATGAAGATCAGAAAGGCGATCGAGAATAAAAAAAGGTGAACGTAAAAGCATACCCCATGAAGTACCCAAATTCAATCGCATTAAATAAATTTCTAATAATAAAGCAACAAGTATTATTATTTGTTTTTTATTGTCGGAGATTCGTTTGATTCGATAAAATTAAATTAAGGTAGTTCACAGTAATTTCCTGATAAGTGCTTTTGTCTATCAATTAAAACGTTCAATAACTGCCTATCCTGATATACTACTTAACGGCGGAACTGGGTGTAAAATTCAAAATATTTATATATTGTCTTATCTAAAAATCAACAGAAGATTTAGCTAATAAATATACCACATGTTAGCCTAATTTATAGTAATGTAAAATATTTCCCGTTTCTTCTTTTAGGTATTTGTTGGTACTAGATTACTGTAAATGCTTGAATGAGAGCTTTTGGACACATAGCCGATTTTCAATACACGTATTGGCACCCGTTGGCATTCTAACGATTCAGTAGAATAGGAAGCATTTATTGTACAAGGTTGTATGTGCCGTCATCTCTGTGGACTCTTATATCACTTGCTAGAATCTTTAATGAAGTACCTTGATACATAAAATTTAAGATAGAGTGATTGCTATGCCTCATCAGCTCGTCAGCAATTCGTTTAAATAGATAGGCCCGTATTTGTTAGTTTATGCGTTCAAGGTCCAATCCGCTCCATTTGTGTTGGATTTTCAAATGGTTTAATCTTTCCGCGTATCGTTAAGATTTGCGTTGGTTCGGTCCTAAAGTATAATGTAGTTTTTAAGAAAAATTTTATGTGTGATAGGTATCTGCAGGCTTTATTCGTCTAAAGCACCATATTGTAATCTATCAATTACTAAATAAGCCTCAACATATAGTCCTGAAAAGGCCAGCTGTTACTTCAAGGTGGAAAAGCTTCCCAATACATTTCGTCGTGTTAGGTAGCTCCCAATAGTCTAGCCAGATCATCGCTAGTTTTTTAAGAACGGTTCGAGTAATACTTGTTAGACACGGACCCGACATTACCAAGACAATGTCTCTTTAACGTAGGCTAACTGTGAGGACCTGTCCTGACGGTTGGACTTTACCGAGCTTATTATTTAGTAAACCCCAACTCCTCTGTTAGTTTTCACTTCGTGCCAACCCCGATCGGCTTTTCATAGTACTACTATAGAGAGCTGGTGAGCAAATAACATCTGGCCACATGGGCTAGGTTTATCACAGGAGTTTGATCGCTTCAGGTGTTCAATAAGTCTGGCCTATTTTCTAAAGCAGCGCTCTCTGTAATTAATATTTCAAGCCAGACATACTCTAGCCAATTCTTTCCTTTAAATAGGCTTTTGGTAAGTTTGCTACCACGTTCCTTTTGTCAAATCGGCTTGCAGATGTAAATTATGGTAGCTTAGGCCTACTTCTGCATGTTACATACTGTTATGCAGCTACGTCTGTTCTTATTATCCAGGGCACAATATTGCATTTCCGCATGCTTCACCTCGTCATACCTGTTAAGAATACGCATTGCCATGATCTTGTTAATTCAGAAGCAAAGTCAGAAAAAGCATTAATTTCTTCCTGGCCAGTCTGCCCAGGCCTTTGTCTCCCATGAGTGCTTCAGGGCTATGTTGCAGGATCAAAGCCAATTCTCCTTGCCATGCAATTAAGCTTCTTTTTCAGTTTGTTTGAGCGTTCCATCTTTTCTGCATTTTGCCAACTTAAGGGCCTACGGAGGGATGCTTGTAAGAATTAACCCTGTATAGGTACTCACCGTCTTGTAGACATGGATAATACGAAGCGCCAATACTTGCTCAGTTTTGTAGAGCAGCTTCCTTGAGTATACGCTTGCTATTGTAGTAGTGGCGTACTAAATGTGCCCCAAAAAAAGTGATTGCTTTAGCTGTCAACGCAAAGTGGCGTCTCGGTTTTTCCTTAGGGCCAAGGACTTTCTGTATAATCCTCGCTAGCTTCGCTACGACTTCGAAATCATCTCTAATCATACGGTTCAATTGCGATTGACAGTATTCGTGGCCAACTTGCAGGTGATCAAAACATAATACAAGTCTTTACCTCTTCTAAACTATCTTCGGTAGTCCTTCCTCTGAGTAAACAAGTGTATTTACGCTTCGTAAGATCGTACAACTATAGTCTAAGAGAGAAGAATTCTCTTTAGTTCCAATCATCTGTTTGCGCAATATAACCGTTCTCAGTGGTTGTTATAATAGAATTTTCAGTAGTACATCCTTGAAGTGGAGACTGTATAACAAATGTAACCTTTATTAGCTATTCTTGTACACCTTAAGTGAGTCCAACAACTGACCAGCGCACTGATCTGTGAGAAGTAATAATAACTAATAACGACTCGGTTTTACTTGTTCAGCCAGGCACGTTGCCTGTATGAACTTGATAATGTGTCTTCCAACAACTTGTTGGCAATTAGCATCGACTGTATTGATAAATATATAGTGAAATGCGAGGTATAAAATGTTTGTCATAAGTCGATCATTTTTCAAGTTATGCGTATTACTGCTGGATAAATCAATCGTGAAACCCTTTAATATCTGCTGTTCACCTATCAAAAACTTCGAGTAATAGATTTCGGACTAGATTATCCTATCGCAACGCTTGCAACCTGAGGTCTTAAATATGCAATTTTTATTTTCTTATTAAATTAATACGATCCGCCAGCCAACGAGATTAAAGATAGAAGCTACGTTTTTTTAACACTGCCTTCTATGTTTGTCGTTATTGATGCCTGAGAAACTGAGAAACGCGTTGTTTGACTGGGGGGTATGGGGTAACGCTTGAGCAAGGGTTATTTATTACATTTTGCTGTAGGGTGAAGTCCAGACAAATTTTACATATTCAGACAAAAGAACATATTCAGTTTACATGATCAAAGATTGTTACTACTTATTATATTGCCAATGTCCATTGTCGTAAGGGGCTGCCGAGAAGAGCAGTGTGGTGTCGTACGGAAAATGCACCACTCTAAGCAGTGCTCAGTCACACGACACAATGTGAAGATTTCGACTTTAAAGGAAACAGGGCTAAACCCATTAAGAGACAATTTTTACAAACACACGTAATGTATCGATTAGGTTTTTTTTTTAATTAATATAGAATTTCTGACATACATCTTTAAGAAAGCTCCTCTGAATGGCTTGTTGGGTCCCATAGTTGCAATTTCATGCTCCATCGTGTCTGATCTACTTCTATATAGATTGCAGAGATGCAAAAAATCGCAAGCTTCGTCTAGTTTTTCAACAACTACTTTTTAATAATAGAATTTAGTTTCATTGCGTGTTTGTTAATCTTCGTAATTTTTATCGATCTTGGGGAGTATTATTAACGAATTCTGTGAAATGTACCTGACTTTAACTACTATAATACTAGCCTTGCGTGTATGTTATATAGGTGTGTTATAGAAAAACTAATTTATTGGACAGTTGTATACAGCGCCACGCTAACTTGGAGGTAAGAGCATGTTATTTATCTTATCAGTGCTACCAAAGAGAAGTACAAGGGAGTCGCGCAGACTTAATTTATTAGTTTGATTCTGGCATTTCGTACAACGTATAGTTCGCGTCCAGCAGTATGTACTGGCCAGTTAACATTTAAACTAAATAATACAAAAGCCTTTAAATGCGAGTGTGAACATTTTGTTACAAGTTTATAGGATAGAGGATTTCTAACAATAGCGATTGTCTCTTCTCACTTAATTTAATATTAGTAAAACAGCTGGCGAATTTCGTGTGGCGCGCTTTGGCTAGCTCAAAAATTTCAAGGGCGGGCCAACGAACTAATCGCCGCCAATAACAGCAGTAATCAGCATGCACACGAACCAATCGGTGTGAGTGTGTTCGTGCGGATGATTCGCGTCCTTTCTTCTTCTGTCTGCTGCTGATCTCTCCTGACTTCCCTGTCCCTTTTGCTTCGCCTACGAGTGCCTCTTTTTCTGTCTGCCTCCTTTAGCACCTACTAAAACGCATAATCTGCTACGCTTCTACTGCCACGCCACCGCAGCATCAAAAGCGGGACGATCACCGCTGCGGTGTCGCGTCTGTTATCGCCTTGGCGCGGGCAGTTGAAGCCCAAAGCGACATGGCAGGCCGTTCAACTGACTCCTGGCTTCGCTAGCGGTTGCTGGTCCTGCCGCAACTTTTGGGCGCTAGCACAAATGATCTAATGGTCCGTGTAAGGCTGTGGCTCACTGTATCATTTGACTATACTACACGCCGCTCATACGACGACCCGATAAAATCTGTAGGGTTCCCTCACTCATCGGCCGCGTGTCTGTTTGTCTAACTACTGCCGCTGCTGTATACGGTGGCAGGCGGGTGGACAGCGTGATCGCAGGTGGCCGACGGCGGGTGGGTAAGCCGGCGGGTGAGTGCGCAACCGAAGGCTCGCACTCTACAAGATGCTGGCAGGCAACATATTTACACACATACAGACAACAAGCAGACGGTGACAGGCAGCGCCACCCAGCCACCGGAGACGAGACTGAAGCGCATCACCGCCGCTACCATTTAACATGCAAAGCATATATGAGCTTACTTCCGAGGCGAGATGCTACGGCGGTGGAAAGGACCGGACTGGGTGCCGTCGCCACCGCCGTTGAGCGCCAGCAATTAAGACAGCAGTCATCTAGCCATTAGGCTTCTGGTGGTGGCGCTGCAGGCGTCTCGCGCGGCGTGTCTCCATGTGTGCGTGTGCGCTGGCCGCGGTTCAGCTCACCCAGCGCCTGCCAGCCAGCTAGCCAGCCAACGATAACGAAACTAATCCCGCCGCTATGACGACGACAACAAAGGAGAATGGGGCCGACAAACAGACAGACGGCTAACAGCGGCCCCTATGCTGGCAGGCATCAACGACGAGGAGTTCCGACATAGGGACAGGGGCAGAGGGCGGCGCGCCAAGAGCATTTGTCGTCGTAGCGGCAGCGATGGCAATAAGAACAAGTACATGACTTCCAGCAGTAGCAGCGGCAGTGAAAGCAAGAGCAGCGGCATCGCCTACACCACTACGACTTTATCGAAACAACAAGCAGACACAGGCGCAAAGGTACAGACGGACAAGTCTATGGTTTGCAAGTTACGAGCGAGGGCAGTGGCACAATTAGCAGCGGCAATCGCTAATGTTGGCGGGGGCATTAGTTTGAACGGCAGCGGTGCTGCTGCTGCTGCTGCGGCGGTCATTGGCTGAAGCTGCTGCTGCTGTTGTTGCTGCCGGCTGAGGGTTTCAAACGAACTCGCAAGCAGGTAGTCAACGGCGAGTAGTAGCAGCAGCAGCGGCGGCGGCGGCGGCAGCGATGGAGCGGTTGCATATGTGAGCAGCACCAGTGAGGAGTGTGCTGCCATCAGCGGCGACAGTAGCAGCAGCAGTTTAACAAAGACTACTACGGGAGCTTGAAACAGTGCGGCAGCAGTTCGCTCGTCGGTCCGCTGTCCTCCTTCTATCGGTTCGTTCGTTTATGTTGCCGCCACCGCCAAATCTGCCGCCGGTCCTGCTGCTGCTGCTGCTGCTGCTACTGCTGCTGCTGCTGCTGCTGCTGCTGCTGCTGTTCGTAGCCGCATCGCACCGTCCGTCAGTAGTGGCTCGTTCGTTTGTGCGCTCACTCTGTGTCGTGGCCGTTTGTTGGTGGAAGAGTGACATCAGAGACGGCAGCGGCAGCGGTAGCAGCAGCACTAGCAGGACATACTGCTGCTGCTGCTGCTGCTGGCAATAGTAGATAGAGCGGAGAAGCGGCAAGCTAACAGTGAGCAGTGAACGATAGGCGAGCCAGCAAGCGAACAGGCGGCAACCAAGCAGCCAGATAGGCAAGTGGTATAGGCCGTCGGCGATCGACCAACAACCTAGATTTCCGCCACAGCCGCCATCAGCACCGCTGCAGCTGGTGCCAGCATTTTCGTTTGTGTTGTCGATTACGGCGACGACGACGACGACGACAACAATAAAAACAACACCAACAACAGCAGATACAACGACGACAATGATGACAACAACAACGAGCCCTGCTTCTACTAAAACTTCCACAAGCGCCAATGAACTGCGGAAAAAGTGCTCCAAGTAGACAGTGCTACTAGTGACCTGCTAGTTTGGTGGATACACGGAGCCGCGGGAAGCAACGATTGCAAGCACAGTAGCAGCAACAACAACAACAACAACGTTGAACAACAGTGGGAAACGAAAGACGTTGAGCTACAGTGAATGAAGCAAGTTGGAAAAACATCAATAGCGATAACAAAAGTTACAGACAGATAGTCGCCGTGGCGGCCCCACTGATAATATCATAGGTTTATACATAAACCACCGTCACCCTGTAACGCGTTGTCTTTGTTTTTGCAGTAGGGGAATGACAAAAAGCGAGAAAGTGACGAACACAAGGTATCTGCCTATTGCACAGTGACAATTCGCAGATCAACAATCCTATTATCCATCACCAACAGGCACGGGATCAATAAGCGGAGTACCAGTTTGCATATATATATATATATATTCGGCGACAATTGTTAATGTGGTATAGCTCGTGTAGTTGTTTTCGTTACCATTTGCAACTGGCATTGACGAGGTAGAAACGAAAAGCTATGGCGACGACCCTACCAATAATAACAACAACGTTAGCGATAACTTTCGGCCCTGTTCCTTGTTTGCGGTAGGCACAAGCCCGAAGACCCGCCATCATCCGCTATTACGACGATATTGGTGACGACGGAATCGATGGGATAAAGTGAAAAAGTCAAGTGATGTGCTTTTCATCGGCTGCTGCGGCATCGCGTTCTGGTCACACATTGTTATTATCATTATTATTATTTTAGGTACACAGTAACAATTTGCTGCCGATTCTGTATCGCGGGTGTGTTATTTGAGAGCGATGCACCAGCTGCAGTCGTAACGCTTTCCTGTTTCGATCCGCGAATTCTTGCCGCGGGAGTAGTCTCTTTGTTAGTTGTAGACGTCGCCGCCGGCTCACTCAAGTCTGAAAGCGCAAAACGTAGGAGCACAAATATGTAGGAGCCAAAAGTAAGCAAAATAGTAGCCTCACTGCAATGGCTGAATGACCGGCAGCGGAAGAAAATGACGACGAAGGCGTCACGACGAGAGGAGCTCGTAAGGCGTTCTCCAAGCCGACGTGTGCAGTCTGCCGTTAATTGTCAAGATTGATGATCGGTACCGAATTCTGTGGCCGAATGAATTCACCTGCTGACAACAACAGCTCGGATTTAGAAACGTGTCAAGAGCGGTGTCACTACCATTACAGTTATGCGCCATTGTACTGGTAGTATGAGAGGAAGACGTTCGTAAACAATCTAGCCACTCATATAGCAACAACGGCGGCGGCGGCGGCTACAAAAACATCCATGTGCGTATTGCCGAGCCAGTTATCTATCGGTCTAACTGTCTCGTCTAAGCAAACATTGATGAGTGGCAGTAATGTCGGTGATAGAAGCTCGAACACCGATGATATCCGTGTGGCATTCATGATGTAACAGCATCACAACCAACGGTGGTCTTGTGTATGTAGGATTGTTGTTCGAAAGTGACGTTAATTACGAGGGCCTTGTTCATCCAGCGATACTCACCTCCTCTCTCTGAATCTATATCACCGACGGTCCGCCGAACCCAAACGATGCAGTGAGTAGCGCCTTGATTTTTTAATAACACCGATAACAAGAAGTGAGCGAACGGCTAATGCGTGTTGAAACACCCATAATAAAAACGTCGAAGTGATTCCGACAACGCTGATATTCGAGGAGCGTCCCAGCGGGTTTTGGCGGTCTTCCACCTGCGTTCCAATATGAACGATGTGATCAGAAGGTAGAAGAACAACGACAAACTTAACAAAATAACGTATGGTGAGTGGCAGCTGTTGTTAATCGTCACGAGTACAGTTCGAAAACAATGTCGACCCGGTATGTACCGGTGCGCTAGTTCTGCGTAGCAATTAATACAAATGCAAAAAACTTCCGTTGCGATCGAAATTTATGCCAACAGATTTAGATTCAGGCTGACCGCTCTGTATCTGCCAATTCCGCATACAACGTACGGTACGACGACAGTTGTTGCCTCATTTCTATAAAGTATTGATTAAGGAAAAAAGTATCCAGCACTCGTAATTTCTGCTCTTCTGTGAACCTATTGCGCACAGAATTACACAGCTGATAAATGCAACGAAGCTGAAGTTGTCGCTTTATTTATTTGTAGGGCTCGTTCTATTGAAGCTAAATGAAGGCATACGCTCTCCGAACCGGTGTCCGTTTGGCGCGCATTTTACAGGTCACAGTATATTGACTTGACTTACAAATATTATGTTTTTATGCAAACCACCGTTGTATACCCACAGTCCTTGTGATACAAAGATACGGATAAGAGAGACTGGCTGTTACCACTTGCCGACTGTATCGTTTCCGATAGCAGTTGGATTTCAATCAATCCAATGTACCTTTATTCAAGGGCAAGATATGGCGCAGAAGTATGCTGTTTACTACGACATGAATGTTGTCTTGAAGGGCGCAGCAAATGCACGACATGAAAGCGTATTAGTAATATGTTCTGCTGTTGCTCCCTTGTGAGATCTGACATTTGGACCACTTCTCAATGATTCCAGACCTTGTTTAGATATATTATATATTATACTTGTTTATAGAGCTAACAAATTCGCGTAAATTAAGTAATTTCACGGGCACCTCGGAGTCCTTGGTTATTCAACGCTGATGGCATACTGATGCGGAGACTAAATTTAGTATGGTCAGACTTTTAAATATTTGAACAAACGTCAAACCTATTTCAAGTAGCTTTGAGTAGGGCTTTTGTTATCCTTATCATGCACTCTTCGTTGCAAGGTATTAGATTGTGGGCGGAAAACCATCATAATTGTGCGCGTAGCAAGAACGGGCATTTATATGATACTGAAACAATTCACTAGAAATGCCTCTAGCTCTACCTAAAAGGAGCTATTGGACAATATAATTATTTCCTGCACGCTGAGGTTCGCAAGCGTAACTTGCTGCCAGAGATTTTTTGGCAAAACTTTTCATCAACGTTCAACTTCATTGTTCGTTATCGAACATTCAAGCCACTCGCACGTTCTGGTTTCTATTAGTTTCGTAAAAATTTTGCCTGTTTACTAGCAACAGTCTGTGTATACGGTTTAGGATAATTAGAGGGCCAAAATTTGACGAGTCAGCTTTCTTCGTTTTTAGTGGAAGATTGATGCAAATGCATTAATAACGGTGTACGTGAGTCAGTAAGCAGAAGAAAGCTATCAAACGACCGTCGCAGCGTTGCTTTGACAAACGAATTGCGGTTTTAGAAGCGGAGACTTGGCCTGATGCGATTACAAAATAGAATGTAACGGTTTATACTAGAGTTGTTTATTTATTAAAAATTGTTTCATCATTCAAATGAAGAATAAAATATGAATCATTTTCCGGAGCTGAACATTTCTGACAATGTTAACAAGTGCATCTGTTTTCAAACGACCAATTGCCTCGTCTCTTGGACAGCTTGTTGTTTCAGTTTGTATCGATTTTGTTACTACCCGAAACAAGCCTATTTTAGGCTTTTTCAGTTTCTAACTGGCGCTATCGAGTAAAGTCGGACCTATGTTTAGAAGCATCCCTACCAGTGCTGAATGCTGCAATGTCCGAGGCTAGCGTTTGTCTTTGAATGCTTCCGATATTGTGATTCTTGGTGAACGCATTAATTGGCACCGTATTGTAAAAGTCCATGCTATTCTGCAGGTACGAACCTGTTGCTCGGTAGCATCGACTTAATGACGTTGCTCACGTTGGCAGCCAGTTACTGCGGTGTCGCGATAAATAGGAGCGATACGGGCAGCGCTGTTACGCCAGTCACATTTAATCATCTGTTGGGAGAAGATCAGTTGTCCAGACAAAGTACAGACATCTTACATTATGCCGCAACGGTACATAGCCATCATTGCCAAGGTGTGTGCAATTTAACTAACGCAACAACATGGGAGAGTGTCCATTTTTGACCGTTTTACCTTCCGCAGAACTCGTCAAATGCTTTACTCTTACTTACCATTAAAGGGATCCAGGATAATGAAGTATGCTATCACACCAGTAATTCTTAACAATGGCTGTAACCTTTTTGTTTGAACTGTCCCTTTGCGTCTGGCAATCAGCGAAATCGATATCTAGATCTATATCGTGCTTATTATTGTTACTAGTAACTCAGTGGTTAACGTCTTTACCTTTATCGGCGTCTATTTTTATTTCTTCGTCCACGTATACAACCGCCTAAGCTATATAGCTTACCCAGTTAGCATTGTTCTTATGTATTAAGGTTGTAAACGGTAGTAAATTTTCGAACAGAAAACGGAATAGATTTTGTTTTATTGCTTAATGTTGCTACTTTATGATCTGAATTTCGTATTTTTTTTATTGAAATGCGGTTGGAAGGCTGCTTGAATCGCCATTTCACTTTTTGACATTGTTTAAACAGTGGGAATTTCCGCGATAATAGCCAGCATCTCTACTCCCATGACGGATCGTAATAAGTGATATGATTCTTCCAACATACCATACTCTACCTAAGAAAAGAGAAGTAAAGGTTTTCATAAAATTACTAAAAGCAAATATTGTGCCTATTTCGTGCGCGAGCTAGTTCAATTACAAGGTACGTCTTGAGTCGCATAAGTCGCAGTTAGTATGATATGGACAGGGCTGCAAAACGTTTACCTCCTTGTTAAAAGTCATATAAAACTTCAAGTCGGCTTCCTGATAATCCAAGTAACAAGATGATGATGGAAACGGAGTAAAGTATTCTGTTCTTCGATCCCCCTCCGCCGTTCCTCTTACCAACTGAAACCGAAATGTTCGTAATGAATTTAAGTTAAAAAGTTTGCCGCATATTTTTTTCACCTTAGGTTTTACGAGAAAGCTTAAAAACACTTATTAATCTTAACAAAACCATAGTTATCAACAAGAATTATGAATGTGTTTCTTGCAATTCTGCTTTTCAGAGCAATTAGGAGACGACGAAATTTAAGGTGCCACAGGAGGTTCTACTTGGTCTGGTTGCAACGCGTACTAAACCATGAATACACCCTCTTAAACAAATTACGATACCATTTATTTATTAGACGCCTCATATCGCTCACTGAGTGATCAAGGTTTGCATTCCCTTAGCGGGAAATGTTTTTGTGATGAGCTTAGTAACGGATAGGAAGAACGTGGCCTTGCTAGCAGCTGGGCAAACTAGGGCTAATAACCAGGATGCCCATCCTGTTTTCGTTTCACGCCAACCACCGAGATTTTCCCTCAGACTCTGAGTCGGACGATTCGGACTTCGTTTGTGAGCCAACGAGGACAGCTGCGTTGCGTGACGATAGCTTAAGCGAGTCTGACAGCTCAAGTGATACGTGTGTAGCTAAAGCCACACCTGAAGCAAAACTTGTTAAAACAGTTAGAGAAAGACAGTTGCCTACAATGGACAAGGAGGTTAACAACGAGTCTGATAAGGTAATGGTCGTGTTCATGGGATTACTAGAAAATTAATACTGCAAATAAAAATTAAAAGATTAGTCACCAATTTATGGACGCAGATTCGGCCAGTTTTTAATGTTGTTAGCCTCGTGCATACATTGTCCGTGTACGTCTCTGTGCAGCAGACTGGGTGCTTGTTCAACGATGTAAAAAAAATAAAAAATAGGTGAATAAAGTGCTAAAACAAAGGCGAAGCTTCCAATAAATGCATGGGCTAATTGTCACACTGGTTGATATTCAAACTAAGTTGGTCGCTGTTACGACTCTATTGGCAGGCATCGCCCGCGTCGCTAGATAATGGGGCCGCATCGTCTGCGTGCAGTCCCGTTCTGGCCCGAAGTCCCGACACCACGACGGCCACTCCGACGGCTGGAGACGTCAACGATGAAGAAGACGATGAAGATGAGGAGGACGAAGACGAAGATGGAAATCACTCGAGTTCGCCTGAAGATCATAGCATTGTCGGGACTAAGACACCGAAAGTCGCCAATGAGGTCGTCCAAAATCAAGCAGGCTCTTCACCAGCTCAGCTTGGGAAAAAGCCTGAAACGAAATTACAGGTATCTAGTTTATTAGACACCGATTTGTTAGCGAAGTATACATAGAAGTACGTAGAAATACGTGAGAGAAATTAAGCCGAAATAAGTTTTCGCAATAACTAACATTGAATCTTTTTGGGCTGAGCAAAAATTGACATGGCTCCGAACATGAACGCTGCCGCTAGCAGTCAATTTGACTTTTTGTGAATATTTTTCAGTTTACATATTTACACCTTATGACATCCTCATCGAACTTTGCGCCATCAATGATCTACGTTTAGTTATGGACCCAGTACCTTTGTAAGGCTCAGTCATTTTCACTGGAGAGTATTGGGTTAGATGTATAGGAAATGTCTTAATATTAATCTAAAAAACAGAAACTACGTATTTGTTTATTTTCTAACAACAGTTATATCTTACTCAGTCGTGGTATCAGTCGCACTCAATTATGTATACATCTGAATCGATATTTAATCATCACTCGTTTAATGTTTCTTAGTTATTCTTTCGTATAGAATCCATTACTTTTTTTCTTTTTTTTTTTTCTGAAATTCATTCATCCTATTACGTCATACAGCGGACGACGAATTGTGTATTAAACATACAACCGTCAATTTTAAGACTCTGAACGGGTATTTCAATACAGAAATTTCAACCAATGTTTCAGCTGGTAATACCTAAGAAACGAAAGCATTCGAAAAAAGATAAGGACGAAAAGGTTAAGAAGCGTGGCCGTCGTAAGAAGAGCATTATGGTGGCAGAGAATGTTGAAGGATCAAATTCTCTCAAACTTGTTCTTAAGAAAAAGCCCGAAGTTTCCGACCCTGTTTACAATGGTCCCCCGCCCTGCGCACCGGGTTTATGGAATCGACAAATACCTCGCGAGGTGCTGCTAAAAATTTTCCGGCACGGCGTTGAAAAATTTGGAGTCCTACCTTTCCTCATCACGTACGTTTGTGTAATTTATTCCACTTTTTTAATTATTATATTATTTGTTTTCCTCTTTCTGGAAGTGGAATTTAATTGTACAGTAGAGTAAAATGTATGTCTGTGCTTTTACGTATCTAAGCGTTCGAGAAGTTTGTCCGGAATGGAGGGCTGTTGCGGAGGACGTGTCCTTATGGGAGAAGGTGGATATGTCAATAGTCAAGGTGACGGAAGCGCAGTTAACACGGTGGGCCAGTTCCGGTATGCTGAAAAGGGTGCGCGAGCTCAACTTGTCAAACTTCGGGCCAAAAATATCTCATGGTACCATCACGAATGTGATTAACAATTGTCCTCGTTTAGAGGTACTTAATCTTTCGTACAACAACAAGCTTTCCATGGAGACGATGGAATATATCGTTAACAAATGCGATCGGCTACGCGGTCTCGACATTTCGGGAACGACCAAGAACCGGGGCGCTAGTACTTGTTCGACGTGTGCACCAAATGTTCTTAAGAGCCTTATTATCAAACGGGGAGAAAACCTCGTTCAGTTGTGCCTCGCGGAGAACGCTGTTGCCTCCCTGAATAGCATCCTCAACTTGATACCTGTAAGTTAAGTTAATACGGTAGGCATATTTCTCGTGTCAGCTTTCGATATCTACCCATCAGCAGACATTAACATGGCCGCAGGCTCAGATTGTGTGTAAACTTTGTTAGAAGTCTGATACTCTTGATGACGTGGATAAAACCAGAGCGTGCGGTAATTACTGGCAGCTATGAAATTTTGCATGAATGTATAGCTTCTCGTAATGGGTTAAGTGTCTAAATTAAGCTATCTACTAACGAATACTGCGCTAGTGCTTGTCTATATTTCAGTCACGTGAATGTATGTAACAAATCTAACGAGTAGATGCGCAACCACTTAGGCTAACGGCAACAGAAGAATATGATTGATACGCTCTTCACTTTTTTTGCTCCTTTCAGAGTTATCTTTCGAGGTTACAAATACTGGACTTGTCCAATATCACAATGACCTGTTGTATGATCTTTCCGCTCGAGCGAATCCAGGAGACGTGCTCCGACCTTCGGGTCCTTCGATTAGCAAATACACAGGTGAGGTTGGCAGCAACACCCCCAGCGGAGCAAGCCCGGTCACCTGGCTTCCCTTTGCTTGAAGAGCTTTCGATAGCCAACCTTTTCGATCTCGGTGATTCGGCACTTGAGCGTATCCTCAAAGCATCCGAAAAACTCACACTATTGGATGTACGGAACTGTAAAGGCCTCAGTGTGTCGGGCCTTATCAAGATACCCGCCTGGGACCTAACGCAATTGTACCTAGCCAATTGTGATGCAGCAACCAACCCTAATGTTGAACTGATCATGAATAAGGTAAGATAAACCATCATACCTAACTTATATGATGTATGTAAATGCTACGTAGCGTTTCCAAGATAATACCACCCTATCATATAAACATGGCTAAGATAATCTCACACCCCGTAAAATAAGTTCTGTACCTTCAAGCCTAATGATTCCACTTGGATACGTTTCCAGTGGGCGCACAGTCTAAAAGTGATCGATGTAAGTTGGGTGTCGCATGATACGGCAATCAACGCGGCGTTGCGCGCTCTAGCGACTCATTCGGAAACGCCATCGAGCGTTTATGATCTGGACTTGAAGGGTTCATCGGTATCATTTTCCACGCTGAAAATTGTCCTCGACCGGTGTCAGCGGCTGAGAAAGCTGAATCTCACATCCTGTCGTAGTCTGCCGCGAGGGATTAAACGCGTTTTTGAAGGTCCTGCAGTGGTCGAACTGCGCACGCAGGTGTTAACCGGCAAGTTCGATGAGAACGAGTGAAATCTCATCATTGAAGCAACAGAGGTTGTCCATCGCAACCATGGCTCAACGATGCATCTCCATTTCAATGTTAACCTTCCGTGTAAATGTGTTAGCACTGCGGAAGAGCCCCAGCGAACCAACTGCTACAAAGACTGGCTAATTAGAGAAACGATCGTCAAGTGAGCAGTGCAAGTTTGTATGATTTTGACTGTATATCATCATTATTTCGCTATCATATTACTTACGTAAGGGAGGTACCTATATATAGAGAGGACGATTGAATATATATATATATATATATATATATATATATATATATATATATATAAACGCTCTTAAAGGCCTTTTTAGTCACTTCCTTTTATTAAAAAGTACTTTTTCATTCGAAGTTATTACGGGGCCGTTTTCTCTCTTAATTTGAACTCGAAACAAGGTACTTATCAATTTCGGGCTGGATTTAGTACAACTATAATTTATAGCCGCAATGCTTAAGGCTGTATTGTCTCTTCTCAACTATGCAACACTCGAAATTGGAGTCAACTCCAGACATCCCATCTAGTATTATATAAGCACATAAATTTCAAGTGGCTTTATGCACTACGTTGAGTTGTTCTACCTTACGTCAGTGATATTTCTTTCAAGGAAATGTATTTCATTTTTATGTTTGGTTTTCAACAGCAAAGAAAAAACACAAAATATAAATAGGTGTCTCTGAAAGTGTTGTGGGCCAATAGTGATCGATAAAGTCGGATAAAGCTGACAGATACTACAGGTACCAAGTAACTGACTACTCGACGGCTAGCAATTGCATCACTTTGGCTCCAGGAATGCATAAGATAAACATACAACCTAACTCGACTAAGTGCCACCCCGCCATTCGTTTGTGTTCCCAGTGGTCTTTGAAAGGGAACTGCGTGGACTCGTGATGCACTTCAAGGCTTGTTAATTAGTTTGTTTGCATCCATTGTGTGTCACGTATGTGGCCGGTATTGTGTGCCTGAACCTGAATGTTTGCAGGGCGGAAGCAATTAAAAACTATGTGGTGTGCATGAATTACTAGGATTCTGTATGTGAAATGTATGTTTGTGGTGATGTGCTTGTGTTTCTGCAAAATGTAGAATGTGCGCAGTATAAGATTGTTGTACGCATGACCGATTGCACGACAAAGGGTAATCGGCAAAGAAAAATGATGATTCTGATGGGGCTGATGAGAGACCATGTGAGAATATAGCTACAAAACAAGGACCGGAAAAGGTAACAGCAGATGCAAAAAGAGGCACTACCACTTCGACTACTAGTACTATATGAACGTTTCAAGTTTTACATTCAGTTCTGAAGCCGTTAAGCATAGATTCAGATTAACAGCCACATTTCAGATGAATTATTGTATGGAAAATGTAATGTATTTATGCGTGAGTACGAATACATGAAGGAGTTTACGAAGACGATGGTCCAGTGATCAAAACGTCGTGGCTCTTATTAGATATAGTTTTTTTTTAGTTGAATTTAGTTAACGGTCATCAGCTAAGAGCATGACAATAACTACCGGTTTGCCAACAGAACGTTGTTCAGGGGGGGGGGGGGGGATGTTGGCCTTACGAATCTAATCGTGTTTTTGGTCTTGGAATGGCAGTTCTCATAGTTATAGTTTGCTGAAAGTTTTCTTATTATTTCGAATTATCAAAATTTTTAAGGTAATTGATTTTCTTCGTATATTGCGTAGCCCTAGTAGTGACCTCAGTTTCTTAAATAACTAGTGGTGGCTCTTCGAGATTCTGAAGCTTTTTGTTAACGATGAAATAGACGACTACTTGACTCACACTGATAGACACAGCTTGGCCTAGGCGCGTCAGATCACTTGAGCTCCAGAAATATTTATCATTCGTTTTAACATTCGATCGATCCTAATCAATCACATCAGCTATCTGTTCTCGCTTTGTCCCGCCTAAGCTAGTTATTTTCTTCTAGAAATGCTGTTCTAACATACTATGACATCCTTCAAGACATGTACAAAATAAAAGAACCTGAAAATCGAAATTGTGAGTTTATGTTTAATACAAGTCAAGTTGTTTATACGAGCATTCATCTTAATAAGGATGATAAAAAAAAAAAAAATAGGTGACTGCAAGAATTCCCTGTGTGACAAGATTCCAATCATGACAAGACAAATTTCATGTTAATGTACCGCAGACCGCTATTTTAAACTATTACTGTATCAAGAGTTTCACTACTGCTGCTGCTGCTGCTATTAATCGCTACCCATTATGTTTCTTCATTATTATACTTTTTGTTCTGCTCTATTTCTACAGACAATATGGCTATATAATTATTAAGCACAAAAGTTTTGCAGATGCAGAAATGTCGGCTTCAACAAAATTGACAACGACATAAAAATCTCTTACCACCGAAATTCTAATACTGAAATAGTTTTCTTCTGAGACAAGACGAAGGGTGCAGTTTCCCAAGCCGGTATACCAGTGTACTATAATAATCGGGCTTGTGACCTATCTATTCGCTAGTCCGTGTCGCTATACCTTTGTGACAAATTAATGATGACGGCTATATTGAGCTCCTGTTTTTTTCTTAAGGTAATGTGAGATTCCCATCTTACTTCACGCATTAATTAAAGTAGAGCAGGGAAACAAACAGTGCGGAGAACGAGAGTCCCATAATGGAATGGAATGTGCAGCCGCTATAGTCGTAACGATATAAAAATATTATTATTAAATATAAGCGGAATATGAACTGAAGGGCACACGTACTTTAATGACGAAATATTTATACCAGACTATAAGTGGGATAACGTCAAGAAAACGACGAACGATAGGTGAAATGCAAAGTGATACTGATTGTGAAGGAAATAATGAATGACTACACACAGTTACATAAACACCGAGTAAATCCGACAGAACGTGGCATACATATGTGTAATATGAAGAAAAGACAAACAGTTAGCGATGAATAGAGCAAAAGTCAACTAGCGAACAGCCGGAATAGCTGTGCGAGTTATGTCTGTATTATGTATGTAGATAACGAGCTCATCGGGGTTATCAATGCAAACGTGGAGAAAAACAAGGCAGAGCAGATGATGGTGTTACATCGCAGGTACGCGATAGATAACGAATATCGACTTGAAGCGAAGCGGGAGTCTGATTTTGGCCTTCTCTACTCATCGTTATCGTCTACATGATGAACAGCAGCAACAGCGGAGTATAGCAAGCTGTTGTGGTAGGCCTTACCAAAAAAGTGCCCTAAAATTAACAGATTTAAGGTAGCAAGATGTGCTGAGCCTGACCCGTCGCTAGTAAAGCTGAATGCGAGAAGTTCATGTGTCGTTAGTTTTATCGAACAACAGCTGACAACATTATTGGCTCACCAGCAAATAGCGAAGAGATTACGTAAAAAGGACTCCAACCATAGCTATAAATGGTACTATAACAGTATAAAAGTATCGCTATGGTTTTTATGGGAAATGAGGGTCATTGTTTTTAGTTTTAAAATTTGGCGCTCCAATCAATTCACAGACCAGACACAGACACAGACACACACACCCACGCACACACCCGACCACCTTCACTTCTTGTTGAATTTTTTTATATAAATTGTTAATTTCTTTTTAGAGCAAGATGGTAACGAACTGAAAATAATCATTGTATTTTATATATAGATATTAGATGTATAATGCAAATTGCGATAGAGTGCAATTGTGGTTATATTGGTTATTATAATAATTATTATATATAAAAGATTTTGCTTGTACACACTTGGAGGTTACGTTATAGGGAGAAAATTGTTATTTCGCTTTTATTTCTATTATAATCGGGGGGAGCAGACGATGCAAGCTAACCAGAATTGGTATAGGAAAGTTGAACCAAAGCAAAATGCGTTTTGCAGACAGTTTTAGTTGCGATTTTCACAATTCCAATGTACAGGACGAATAAGACCAAATGGCAGATAGATCTCCCTATAAGTCAGCCCCGGTGCCAACTCCACTGTGACATGGCAGCAACAATGTTACTGTAAATCTCTATCAACAACATCACCAACAATAAAATGTCAATAAGGTCTGGCGAGTCTTCATTGTCAACATCTGAAAAAAGCTAGGAATGATTGATTCAAACGCGCGAAGCATGAGATATTGCTCAGTAATCTATTATATAATCCCCTGAGCTGTCGTAGGCGATGCCAGCTAATCGATTGTAAACACGAGCGAAGATTAGTTTAGTTGCCACTTTAATGCTAGATTTCTCTCAGGATGTCTGTGGAGATTGTTCTTTTTCTCTCCTAGATATCGAAAGCTCAGCTTCTATCGCACGCTATTCGTGTGTGTGTGTGTGCGAACATGACTAGTGAGTTGGTGAGAAGCACGGCCTTCATCGCGCAACATGTTTCTTATCGCTGCAACCCTTGTCAAAATGGATCGCGCCGCGTGCTACATGATAAGACTACTAGTAACTTTTTTTCTATGGCCGCCTCATATGTTATTTACAGATTGATTCATAGCCTATAATCTAGTGTTGCCTCATCTGCACTATAATAAATTCAATGGCTTTATTTATTCATCTTAACAAGCCAATATAAAACGTGGCATACTTTATTTGGTGATATGTTTATTCTTTGCCGTTGTATTTGTGCCTGACTCGGTTCAAAGAAGGTAGTTTCACCCTCAAATATTTTTATATTTGACTTTTGTTGCCCACACAACATCTATAGAACTGCCGGTTATCCGCATTACCTTGCTATTTCATTCCCGCACGTATTACCTCATTAACTTTCAGTTAGTTCAATTAAGTTGTCAACTGGATATTTGCTCAATATGATTTATCTTCTCCACGAATTCACCCATTCTGCTGACGGCCCTTGGCGGTTTATTATAATATCTCGTATGTTTTTCTCACAAGTGCTTCACAAACGTGATGCTTGTTTATTGCGTGTACTTATACCTAATATATTAAAATCTATGTAGTTTCACCGTCACGTAGACTAGCGGTTCCGGATATCGCGTATGTACTCTTAGTTCCACTCTCTTTATCTCTATCGCGTTTTTAATTATCCTGCAAAGCTACCGCATCAGCCTATCGCATTAAAATTTGTGTATATTCACAACAACGAGCTGGCAATATGGGACACTGGCACGTCACCTACTGCAGCGGCTGGCTGCAGCTGTGCTAACGATGAAGAAGTTCCCGTTGCTGCAGCTTCGAACAGATGTCTCGCTGGAGGCAATGGCGTCGAAATTGGCGCGGTAGTTCCGTTCTCACTACTTGCAGATGCGTGTGGATGCTGTTGATGATATACTGTGACATTTGTAATGGGGGACTGCT